ATTTTATATTTCATTTTATAGCTCCTGCTCGTCTCACCATATGGATTGAAACATTTAGAGGAAAATATGTCATTGGGATTTTATCAAAACTTACTTATTGTCCCATCATCCTAATGTTCATTGGCCTTAAATCACATTTATAGGAACTTCAAAAAAGTGTAAAACTAAAAGTGATAACTCTGCAAATTAATATTTAGCTAAGAACACTCACCTAGTCACATGATCTACCTTGAATACTATCCTATGGATTAACAATTAAATTTGAATTTGGAGATCAACTGTCTGTATAAAATGATCGTGTTCCCCAACTAGAGCACAGAATCAATTGTGTTAAAAATGTTGAATTTGTTAAAATGATGTAATTTGTTACCTGTTACTGACAAAAATACTCTTTAATTAAAAGGCGATAAAGAATATATCTTCAACTTATGAAAAGAAGTTAGTTAATAAAAAAGTTTTATTTAAGTGTAAAGTCAACTAATGACAACTGCAAAAGAAGTGGTATTATTTCACGTTATCATCCTTTCCCTAGCTTGTTCTGTCTTGGATACCACAAAAAAAGATGGCAGTGCCGGCTTATAATGTTTCTTCGTATGTAAATGACTGGCAGCTTTCTCCTCAGGTCTACAAGGTTCATGTCAAGATAGTACCATAAGCATTTCTGCTTCAATTCTTCTAAATTCGTCATTTATAATCATCATCACATCTCACTAGATTCTAAATAACCTTTGCAGTAAATAATTAAATGCTAAATTAAAATTAAATTATTTGGTTATTCCGTCAAATCACAATGTATTTAAAATAAGATAATTAAAATAATTAAAATATCATTCTGTGTTCCATATCGAATAATCGATTTACAATTGGAACAGTTACAACATGTTTCGGTTTTATTAAACCATCATCAGGTGTAAAATTATATTAAATTTAAAACTAAATTACAATTTTTTACTATTTTTTCAATTTTTCGTAGTGTAGTTTTTTGGAGGTCGTGTCTAGATATTTTCATATAATGGATCAACTTTATTGTTTGAAGTGTTGCGTTTGAGGTTTACATCGGTCTGTGAAGTAAATGATTCAAAGAAACATTAATGAATATGGATGAATATAGAAAACAATTAAATAAATAAATAAATAAATAAATAAATAATATTTTAAGGAATGTAAAATAAACATATCAGAGATGAAATAGTAGACAACACAGTTGTATCTGGAGGTGATCCAGAAGTGTAAAGATTGCCCATTAACATATATAGGTCAAACTGGCCGCACTTTCACACACAGATATAAAGAACATATCGCAGCTATAAAACACAACAAAGATAATTCTGCATACGCAAAACATATTCTGAATACAGGACACGTGGCTGAAAGTTTTATATCACATTTATGGTAAAATGCATACAGAAGTTTGGTGGGAAATCCTTCTGGAAAATGGCAACTGGGCAGACCAAGAATGAGACTGGAGGATAATATCAAGATGGAAATTAGGAAGATGGGCTGTGAGGATGGAAAATGGATAGAGTTGGCCCAGGATCATGTCTGGTAGCAGTCTTTGATGCTGTTGGTTTTGGACCTGCGGGTTCTGCTACCAGGGAGTTAGTTTTAGTCAGTTAATATATGGTAAAATATGAGTATTTACACAGAAAAATGTTGAAAATATTGCATTGTTAATGAAAGTCTGGCTTCTAGATTTAATATTAATGAGCGGACTGAAGTGGATGAATTTCGATTATTGCTCGTTTGTAATTGTCTCTTCTAGGCTATATGAAAAAAAAACCCAGCGTACGTTGGTTTCATGTACCAGAAATATCTCTGAAATCCTATTTAAAAAAACAAACATTAATTTCACATGTGCAACGAGCATCAATTATACAGTAAAATAACAAAAACAAATGTAATTTTAATTTTAAATATTAATGAGAAAGCCGCAGTCTCTCGAGATTCATCATGTTATAGACTGATCGTCATCACTATCAACGTAATCCTCATCAGAACGAAGCATTCGGTTACCTGCTCCAAAAATGTACCCGGCAGCAGATGCATTCATGTATGCAGCAGTCTCTCTAAGGTCGGACTCCTTTATTCAAGTATCTACTGTCGTAGTTTCGTTGTTCTTTCAGTAGTTAGTCTATCAGTCTTGCATTGTGTTGTCGAAAAAATAAAGATGGGAAGAAAGAACCAGGGAAGTAAAGAAAGCAAGAATTAAAGGCAAAGGAGTTAAACAAGAGAAGGAACGGAAGTAACGAAAGGAGGGAATGAATGCACAAGTAAACAATGAAAGAGAAATGAGGAAACAAAAGTGCAGATGTAGGATTTGAGGTTCTCAAGGCGATAATAACGAAGATGGTTGTCTCTGGGCTGTAGCGCCGTGTAGTCTTGAAGAAGTCATTGCTGCCTCCATTGTCAGGGCGAGGTCGACACTCATCGCCCTGGTGATGGAGGCAGCAAGAACCTCTGAAATATTGGTAAACTTCTTCCAGACTACACGGCGCTACAACCCAGAAGACAGATGTCCTAAAAGTATTAGTGAAAGAAGACTAATCTTGAGGTCCGTGTAGACGACCTTCCTCTGTTGAATGGCTGGATACTATCAGTAAAGAGAAGACTCTCTACGCTATGAGTAGAGATGTCACAGTCGTTGCGATGGGTCCAGACGCCATGTAACAGTTTTTGAACTTCTTAAAGAAGAAATGTGTAATTTACTGCAGGAAAATGTTGCCCTGGTTTTCGTGTATTACACTTACAAATATGTGGCAATACATTCGTTCATCTGTGCTTTGAGAGCATCTCCAGCCGTGATTCTGGTGTAAAAGCCGTGTCGATCACTGTTGTCACTGTTTCTATTTACACTCCAGACTCCTATCATTGCGCTTCGTAATTGAAATGATCAGATGCTGTTCGGTTTCCCTCTGAAGCTCTCAACGTCGGCGGAAGTAATCGTGCTGACTAAAATCTCGCATGCATGCAGTCGGGCACTTTGATTTCCTTGTACGGGTTGCGTCTCATTTATCAGGTTTAATACAGGTATAGTGCTTATGGAAATAACATTCAAAACGAAGTGGGGAAGGTTGTTTGACTGAGACTACACGTCCCATTCGAGTTAGGTTTTACAACTTACAGAACGACATTAGAATAAAAAAGGTCAAATGCCTTCACAATGAAGGTTATATTTCATAGTCTTTTGTAAAACTATGCATAAATATAGACAACTGACTTCATATTTAACTTCTTAAAGTTCAGTGACATCAACAGCTGTATTTTCCCCGCAGAGTGTATTTATGGTTCCGCATGATTCTGTGAATAAATAGAGAGGAGTTGTCTGGTAGAAGATTACTAACGTTTCAGAGGTCCCTGCTGCCTCCGTCATCAGGGCAATGGGTGAGTCGCTTCTTCTTCATACGACACAGAACTCACACTCATTTTAAAATATTATTTGATTCATTTTTCGGCACGACTAACATTTAAAGAAATAAAATACAAAACGTAATAACTTCTGACTCTACAGCAAGGTATCTGAGAGGTTATCAGATTTTATACAGTCGATTTGAATCTGCAATTAATGAACACAAAATAAAATAAATATAAAATAGAGAAAAGAGAATCTGGATTATTGGGTTATTGGACTTTGTCCATCGTCTGACGTTACAAAATTACACAACGTTTCGAGGACTGGTCCTTCCCTTGTCTTCAGGTGTTGTGAAGGGGAAGGGCACTCACTCTGTGAGGTCCGTTAGAATGAGCTAATCTCAATCACCACACCCAAAGACGAGGACAGATCCAGTCCTCGAAACGTTGTGTAATTTTGTAACGTCAGACGATGGACAAAGTCCAATAACCCAATAATCCAGATTGTAATGCACATCGTCAGAACCCTTAAGAACAGATTTATATATTTTCTTAATTCATAAACAAACTATGGATGCACGAAAGGACAAAGAGACCAAGTGAATGAATGAGTAGGAGAGTGAATGGATGTTGATAGTGACACTTTCCGACATTATAGAGGTACTTGCTGGTTCCATCATCAGGGCGATAATTATCATGGCTACTGCCCAGAAGAAAGCTATATTTGGGGTGAGTTATAATTACCCTGTGCTTAATTAGCATGTCATGAAAGCGAATGGGGCAGTAGATTGTATCTGCACATATTCTTAACGTACAAATGAGGTGGAGGTTAGCTTCACCCTTCAACTGCTTTAGCTCCGTGGAAAGAGTTCCGGCAACCACTGGACTGGAGAAGGGGGGGTGAGCGATTTGCTCAAAATTCTGCCAGCGCCATCCCTGGGAACACAACTCCAGTAGTCACTGTTTACAGTGGTCAGTAAAGACGTCCTGGGTTTGTTCTTACAGGGAATAAGACCCCGGTCGTTCAGCTCATAGGCACTTGTTACACTGACTGAGCTATCATGACACGCATCACATATTGTGCGTTGTATGTCATATAACGGCATTGTATTAGTCTAATTACGTACTAACATTGTAATAGACGATTCAAACAATTAAAAATTTCTTATTTGAATTTTAGACAAAGAAATGCATAAACTTAATGGCTTGTGTTTTAATAAAATTGCTAAAGATGGGAAACATAAACGTGTTTAGTAGAAATGACTCTTATTATACGCGGGGGTTGCGTTCTGACAATCACCGCGTATATCGAAACGCGTGAAACGGGAAACAAATAAATGCACGCTGTCAGCAAGTCAGACCAAATATAACGTCGAATGACAGGATGAATGAAAATTAATTGGCAGGTATGTAAAAGGAAGCGGTCGTGGCCTAATTTAAGGTACTATCCCGACATGTGACTGGAGTGACAGGAAAACCACGAAAATCGTCAATCAGGACATCCGCACTCCGGGGCGAGGTTTGAAACCTGGACCTGCAAAATATAAAGCAGGAGCACTGACCACTTGGGCTGGGTTTACTACTTTGCTTGTAAAGGAATGTAATTATGTATGAAGTGTTAGCTTAATTTATTTTAATGTATCCACTGAATAGAAATTTTTTTCTTTACTTATTATTCAAACACTAAACATTGTTAACAGAGATAGCAATACGTGTAAAATGTAATATAATTTGCAATATAAAATTATAAGAGCATAAAATAATGGTGTCAAAACATATCACAGCGTCAGTCAAAATTTAAAGATAACCAGAATAAGGACTATGCATAATAATGAGTCACACATTATACCTTTAAATAAAACAGGTTATTAAAATATAAATCTGATACGCACATTCATTAGCAAATCACAATGTATTATATTAAGGACGGTAATAACGTCATAATAAGTAAAAATTTGTGAGATGGATCTGATTATTTGGAGTTGCGTTCATTCTCGTGATGAGTTCAGAAAAGCAATAAAGCGCGTAAATGTCCTTAGAGGTACAGATGTTTTAAAATATCTCGAAACTTGTGGACCATTAGTGTAGAGTAAAAGAAAACGCTACCCAGAAGATAAAAGGTCTTCAATCGTTCATTTGTTCCAAACACTGCATTAAGAATTGGTGACTGTTAGCGTACATGAAAATATGAATATCCTAATACATGCTAGTGGGAGCAACGGAGAAAAATATTCATACGAAAAACATATGAATAAAACCAGTTTCTCGAAGCTGTTTCTTTATCACGTCACTTTCAAGGCAGTCTATGACTGGCTACCAGGCGTTCCTCTTCTCCCTTCCCGTGACTTCTTTTTTCTCTCCTTAGAATAAAGAGAAAACGCCTGTTCTTCCAGCCATATTGCAATGTCAAGTTTCTCAAGCTCGTAACCCAACTGGCAGGGCGTCTTCTGATCACAATCGACGGCCTTCAGATCAGCACCGCGTTTAACCAGCAGCTGGACTGCAGAAACGTCATCAGACAACACAGCCAGGTGCAGAGGCGTCCTCTTCTTCGCATCTACCGCATTAATATCGGATTCCGCTATTAAAAGCATTAAGCACACCTTACTATATCCTCCAGAAGCAGCGGAATGCAAAGGCGTCCACTCAAAAAAATTTCTAGCCAACACATCTGCTCCGGCAGTTAAGAGGGCTTGCGCCATTTCGCCATTACCTAGTTTTGCAGCGTAGTGAAGAGGCGAGTCTGTCTTGTCTTCTACGGCATTAACAGTCGCACCTGATTTAATAAGCAGTTCTACAAGTGAAGTATAACCTTCCATCGCAGCAAGATGTAATGGCGTTACATTGTGCAAATTAATTGGACCAACAGGAAAAAGTTTGTCAACTAGAAACTTGCAGAACATCATATTACCTTGCCAAGCAGCCAAATGCATAGCAGTTGAACCCACGTGATTTCGAGCTGTAATATCTGCCCCGGCTCCTAGAAGCTTCGATCCTAATTCATAGTTACCGGTAATAGCACAGTTCAGAAAGGGTGTATCACCGTCCACATCAACAGCATTGACTTCAACATTTTTATCAAGTAACATCTTCATACACACAAAATTGCTTGTAAGGGTTGCTAAGTGCAGAGGAGTATTCATAAAAACGTCTCTCAGATTCAAGTTAGCTCCATTGTGTGCAAGAAGTAAGCTGAAATTAATGTGTCCGTAGAACAACGACAAATGAAGAGGCGTTATTTTTGCAACATTCACGTGGTTCACTATAGATCCTGCCTTGATCAATGTTCTACCGACAATCACGTTGCCACGTTTGGCGGCGTAGTGGAGGGGAGTGTTCTGGTACTTATCTACTATGCTGCATCTCTCGCCATATTCCAGAAACAGATCGGTCATTAAGGGACAGCCATTACCCGTGGCATCGAACATCGACAACGTCAGATCCATGAACACTCCCTTCCAGAAGTAATCCTGCAAATACAGTGGTGATTATGTAACTATCATCTTGCCCAGCAGCAAATACTGTCAGAACATTTCAAGGCCACGTGACTTACCACGAAGGCATGTAACTGTTTGAGACACAGCGGTACATATACAGGTGTCCCAGACGGAAAGGTCAGTATTCTGGAAGGTCATAGTATCGGTCATTCTAAGCAAAAAAGTGTATGTGTACATGTGCCCTATTCCGAACTGATTCCGAGATAGAGCTGTTTCACTGTACAGTTACAAAATTGTTGATAAGAAAGAGATATTACGCACTGTTTCTAACACCGGTATTTATTGTTCAGGTGACGCAGTTAGTACAGTTTACCTAGTATAATATATTTTCGAAAATTCCACCGTCAACATCAATGTACTTTGCAACTCGTGTGAGGACAGCGCGTTGCTCGTCTGATGAGTCCATCTTGACGCTCGTTTATGCGGACGATAACATCCAATAGGAAAGGGCAATATTTGGCGCCAAATCCAAACTACTGTTCCGTGAATCTCGGAAACCGTTCATAATAGGAAACATATACACTTTGTTGCTTAGAATGACCGATACTACGACCTCCCAGAATATTTACCTTTCCTCCTGGGACACTCTATATATACCGCCTGCTTTACCCACATGCTATTAAAATGTTTGGTAATTGGGAAGGGGAAAGGAGCATTTTTAACAGAAAATGGTTTATGTTAATGAAGACATAGTTTAAAATAAAATCATAATTTGTTCTACTGCTGTAAAATTAAGAAGTAAGAAAATATCTGTACAAAATTCGATATAAATGTGACAATAAAACTGAATCCGTGACTGAAAATGAGTTTGGGGGGAGTAGAATTACAGTTACAAGAATAAATATTATACAGCAAGGGAACTGCACCGCACCACTAGAGACAGTTATATCAGAACTGTGGACCGCGAAAGAATAAAACAAAAAACAGTTAGGCGTACAAAGACGTCTGCATAGAAAACTCGGCCCAATACATGACTGATTAAAGACCTTCTGGAACGTTCAGTAAAGTAACATTTCATCCACGCAGTGTATTTACGTGCAGCATTTACTCCCCACAGTAAACATCTCTTGATTCCCAAAACATCATTAACAGACTGATATTTGTAACACTAAGTAGGTAAATATGTATCTGAGACATTCTTCATCAAGAACGGTCTAAAACAAGGAGATGCTTTGTCTCCCTTGCTCTTTAACTTTGCGCTAGAATATGCCATCAGGAAAGTCCAAGATAGGCAGGAGGGTTTGCAGTTGAATGGGACACATCAGCTATTGGCATTTGCTGATGATGTTAATTTATTGGGGGAAGACATGAATACAATAAAGAGGAACGCAGAAGTTTTACTAGAGGCTAGTAGACAGGTGGGGCTAGAATGGAATTCAGAAGAAAACTAAGTACATGTTAGTATCTCGTCGTCAGCAGACAGGAGGGCAAAATTATCTTAGGGTAGCTAATAAGTCCTTTGAAAGGGTTACAAAGTTCAAATATCTGGGACCAACAATAACAAATCAAAATGATACTCATGAGGAAGTTAGGAGGAGATTAAATTCTGGAAATGCTTGCTACTTCTCAGTTCAAAATATTTTGTCTTCCCGTCTGATTTCTAAGAACCTGAAAATTAAAATATACAAAACAATAATTTTGCCTGTTGTTTTGTATGGGTGCGAAACATGGTCTCCCACTCAGAGGGAGGAACACAGATTGCAGTTGTTTGAGAACAGGGTGTTGAGGAGGATATTTGGGCCTAGGAGAGAAGACGTTGTGATCTGGAGACAACTGTATAATGATGAGCTTACAAATTTGTACTCCTCCCCCAGTATTGTCAGGGTGATTAAGTCGAGAAGAATGAGATGGGCGGGACATGTAGCGCGCATGGATGAGACAAGAGGTGTGAACCGGATATTGGTTGGGAAGCCTGAGGGGAAGAGACCGCTGGGGAGACCTAGACGTAGATGGGAGGATAATCTCAGGCGGGATCTATGGGAGACTGGAATTTGTTGGCCCAGGACAGGGTCCGGTGGAGGGCTTTCGTTAATTTGGTGATGAACCTTCGGGTTCGGTATGCCATCTAGTTAGTTAGTTAATGTGGTGTTTTCTGGAAGGCAGCGGGACGAAAGAGGACTTGACTTATGACTGATAAAGTTCTCTCAGTACTGACGGCACATCACACAGTGTTTTATTAAAAGGGCTTCTGCTACCATCAGGCAACTTTCTGACGTTCTCAGAGATAATAAATGTACGAAAGTGATCAAAGAAACAAAGACGGGAGAAACTGATGAAGATACAAATGAAATCGTGTGCTAATAACAGCGTACAGTACACGTGTACTGCGATCTTGGTAGTGTAGTCTAGTAGGGGAGAAATCTGTATAATACTTTTCTTTTCGGGACATTTCTCCGAAACGCTTTGAACGCCTACAATACTGTGCGGCGTCAGAGCCCAAGACAAAAATCCACATTTCTATAGCCATGAAAACCTCAAACATCGTATAATGTGGACAACAACACTTACGTATCTCTTCTTGTACGCTGTCAACACTTTTTCCAGTTTCTCGCATCGTAAGTGCGGATTCGTGCTCACATACGCTACAAGGTCTCTGCGTCCATGGTCCAGCGCCTTGTTTCGCTCTATTGTTTCTACCATCAGCTTTCGACCCCTCGGCTGTGTAAGGGAAGGATTCGAAGCGACCTCTTTCAACTCTTTTAGAGAGTCCAACAGCATAATCATTTGCAGATTCGACAGAGTGATAGGTAATTCATCCTCTGTCTCCCCTTCGTTATACTGAGCTCCTGTGACGACCTGATCTCTATCTTCATCACACTCACCTTCAGATTTGGCTATTTTGTTGTATTTAATTACAAGTTTTCCATAATCGATTTTCAGTTTCTCATAACTCTGACTGAGCTGCGTATGCTTCTTCATGTGGTTTTCTATGTTTAATGTTACATCGTCGGATGCTCTACCGAACTCCAAACTCATATCCTCGTATTTTCTTCGTAACAGAAACTCTTCATTCAACTCCTCTTGTGCTTTATAAAGCTGCTCTTTGAACGCATATTCTTCCCAAAATTTTCTTGACAAGGCATTGTACATCCGCAGTATTTCAATTTTGTGGTCACGCAGTGAACGGGTCTGTAAACGTAGTTCAGTCTCCAATTCGTGGACTCTCAGCTCTTGCAACGTGTGTGTTGATTCTGCCAATTTCCTCAGACATATATGTAAACATTCCCTCAGACTAACTGGCAAATTCGCATTAATTTCCTGTTCTATATGCATTATTATCAATTCCAGCGTTTCTATTACATGATTTTCCATCGACTCTTCCTGCTTCCTTGCATCTTCACTAAATGCTATCTCCAATTCGTCTGAAGTATTCAAATTTATGTAATTAAAAAACTTCTCCATCACTGCTATATCGAATTCGTCATCATGGTCTTCATTCTCCGTGGTGCCCGTTGACTCCCCGGAAAGATCAAACTGTAGTAGATCATCTCCTTCAAAATGTATTGGCTCTGTCGTACTTTCGTCTCTTCCATCTATCCCTTCAGATGATCGATTAAAATCCTTCTGCCCGTTCTCGTCAGGTTTGAATTTGATGTCTTCTGCAACCAGTCCTTCGCCTTCTGGTACGCGATCTTCGTGTTCGATTGCACTTTCACTCAAGCCTTCTACATATTCGTCTTGAGTCTCTTTCGGTTCATCTGTATTATTTATCTTGTCCAAGTTTCCGCCTGCTTCCTGGATAGAATCACGACTGAGCTGGTGACTTCCCTGTCCAAACGCTACCTCGCTTTTTGAACCTTTACTTGAGGGTTGCGCCGATTCATC